AGAAGTAAAACGTCATTCCGCAAATCACATATTTCTAACATTAACTCCGGAATTTAATATAGTAGGCATAAATTATTTGATTAAATTTGTACAATTCTGCTGTGAGATATCTATTGGCTTTGCAGTACCACACTCAACAGTACCTGCACTCATCCCCAGAGGGCTTATCTCTGGAGACTTATCCCCAGGGATATATATCCAAGGGCTAATCCCGGGGATTTTTCCCTGGAGACTTATCCCCAGGGATAAGCCTAGGGACTTATTCCTGGGGATTTATCCCCGGGGAACAACCTCCGGTAATCTCCCGGTTTCAGGCATTTCAAACTTGGCATCACTGATTCACTGTATTGGGCTAGAATTCCACACATCCCAAACCCCCACTGAGAAGTGTATACACCAATCTGGGTTGAGACAATGTAAAAAACCAAGTGTGTACCGTACATTAGTGTGTGCTACAAAGCTACAATGTGCCCAAATGTACCTTACTTTATTCCTTTATTCTCTCTCTTACACTTTCAGGAGGAAAACACAATGTACCTACACTATTATAAATTGCTTTTTGCTCTCTAGAAATGCCTGCGAAAGATGCGTTGAGATTGGAACAGTTGCATAACAGGGTAGATGCCATACACCACAACCTAAACACAGCTGATAAGGTATGGTACAGTAACAAAGAATAATTGAGAGTGCATTTATTAAGCCTGGCAGTACCATAAGCACTCTTGAATAACGTTGCCTGGTAATGTGTTTCATTTTTATTGGTATTTTGACATAACATGTTTGGCCTGGAATTTTAGCTATACAGCCATTTCACTGTGACTCATGTGACCAAGTCACAAAAGTTTAGGATTTAAATGCAATGATGTGTCATTTCTGCGAAGGGGCTGTATATTGTAACTGGTATATTGTGTAACACCCCCCCCCCCCCTGCCTCAGCCTGCATAATAAAGTGGTAGGTGGTAGGTAAAATATTGAATTAGAACACATTTGTAGGTGCAATGCTGCTGGTGGTATCATGAGTAAATGTTTATGAACACTCAGTATCAAAAGTACCTTTTCAAGTTTGAATTAATGCCGAATGGATTTGCAATTATCAGATTCTATCTTTGTTCCCTAATATTTTGTTCTTCATGTTACATTTTCTTTAACTGTAGATGAGATTGTGCCGAAAGATCCTTGTTAATCAATTTCTTATGAAGAAATCCCCTGAATGGAGGAATATGTGTTCTTCTGTTATTGGTGAATCCGTAAGTTTTGCTAGTTCATTATGGCACCAGTCAGTCACCCTTTAATTATTTTAATTATAATCACTCTTGTGTTGTGTATATATACGGGGTAATATATGTTATTAGAATGTTAGGGTTTGTAATCAAAGTGAGCATATATACATTTTAAGACCTAACCAGGAACGACTGCGAAAAATGCAGCACAAGGTCCTCTGGTAGGAATTGAACCTACGGCCCTGCGATTCCGGTGCAGCACTCTAACCGACTGAGCTACAGAGGCCAGCTGTTGAGCTGTAACCGTAAGTTCATGTATATATAGGTAATCGGGTGTGCGGTTTGTGATAAGGTGGACTTCAATTATTTGCATTCTTGCACTTCACTTGGTGGAATTAATATTAGAATGTTAGGGTTTGTAATCCAAGTGAGCATATATACATTTTAAGACCTAACCAGGAACGACTGCGAAAAATGCAGCACAAGGTCCTCTGGTAGGAATTGAACCTACGGCCCTGCCATTCCGGTATAGTGTTGTTGTTTACTTTTAGTATTTAATTACCTTGCCAATATTGTGTTTGTGTTACCACTGTGTGCATATGCAGGGCACTTGAAAACTGCTGTGCGAATTGTTATGTAGATGCTTTTTCTTGACCAGGAAAATTATCTTGCATTAGAAGTGTTAATTTGTAAAAGTACTGTGCATGGGGCATATTAATCCTTTAACACGTCACCCTACTTTGGCATGCCCCCTGTTAAATTGTCTAAAATTGTTTGGTTAATTTATTTTATAGGAGAGTACACTTGCAAATATTTTCTTTGTGAGCGCTGATGTTAGTGAAAAGGTGTTCGAACTGATGCTCGAAATGATAACCAACTACCGCCAAATGAGATTAAAGGGGCAAAGAGCAACAAAGAAAGTACTGAAAGACATTAAGTGTCAGGCAGATTTCCCATATGGTAAACTGAAGTGTATGAGAGGGGATATCACTGAGATAGAGTTGATCAACATCTTGAGTGAAGTTAACTCTAAAGAGAAGTCGTTGGCAGAAATGGAATCTGACCTCGTTCGGTTAAAAGAGATGCGTGCATTGCAAAGTTTCTTCGCCAAGTATTCAAATTGCTCATCCTGGCAAGAAGCGCGAGAAAGGTACTGTTTATACTAGTTGGTTTAAACTGTAAGCTGCTGCATTGAACATTTCCAGGAGACGAAAAAGAAAAGGACACAGCAACAACATATAGGGGAGAAAAACGTGTAAAACTCCTGAATCTTTCTTCTGAATCTTTCTTTTGATTGGACAGGCTTTAGTTTGATTAGATATTTCTTTTTGTTCTGCAATGCGATTGGTTAGTGTGCTCTAAATTTGTGTCCCTACTTACTGTAGACGCACTGTAAACATTCAGAACTGCCCTTTTCTGAGCTGTTAAACGCGATTCAGAGTATATCATATCTCTACAATTCTCTTACTGTGATGAATGTTCTCTTTTATATATTACAGATATCCTGAGTTTACCAATGAAGAAAGCATTCAAGGTTTTAGGGGTGATGTTGTACGTGGAAAGTCCACTGAACGTTTCAAGTCATATATCCAGCGTGCTATTTCGTTTAAAGCAACCGATGGCACATTTAAAGAGGGTGTCACAATTGTAAATATTGATTGCCTGACTGAGTTATGCCCCAGTCTCCTTGACGAAAAGGTGCCACAGTTCAAAGGATGTGAAATAGTGTTTCTTGACTTACCAAAGGTAAGAGGTTTCATGTTTGTTTTCTAAATACCATCTGTTCATTCTGTTGGCTAATAATGGAATAGTTAAACTTAATATGAACCCACCATTAATTAGTTCAAAGTTGTATTGCTAGTTGTGGTACTATTTTTTCTGTGTTCTTTTATAGTTTCCACCACTAGTGATGGAATGAATGTAACTTGATTGTATTCGGGGGGGGGTTGTACTAACGGTTTGCTAATTTTGCTATTGAGTATTCAAATGTCAAGCAAATGTCATTGATCAATCAAATCTAAAAAAAAAACATTAAAAGCCATAATGAGACAACAGTAATTTGAGTAGTATGTGCTTATTACTGACACCAGTGGAACACTAACCGACACCTGTGAAGCATTGACCGACACCATCAAACCACCACTTGACACCCTCAGAGTGCTTGTCAACAAACACTTGGCACTAGAGCACAACCCCACCACCACCACCAGATCATGCTGGATGTATCATTGGTAATGTTTTCTTGAGAGAGCATTCTCACTGACTTAACAATATTAAAGATAAATATCAAGAGACAAACTAAAATTAATTTATCTTATTTTTAGACTTGGTCATCAGAGAACCTTTCCCATTTTGTTAGAATGGTGAGAGGAATGAATTCAAGAAAGAATGTTGATGAGGCAACATTTGTCATCTTTCCTGTTAATTGTTCAGCAGCTAAGACGATTGAACAAATAAGTCTTATTATTGATACGATGAACAGACTGGACAAAGCTTTCCATTTGGCATATTATCACAACAGTGGAAATACAACTACAGGTACAATGAAAATGAATATTATGTTTTCTTCTAGGTTATTGCGTATTTGACCAGTTAAGCTTGCATGCTCTTGGCCTAACACTCTTGTATTTGTACGTATGAACAGACAAATTCTGAATCTTGATAATAGGCATGGCTGGCTGTGTGTGCTGCACAGCATTGTTGGGTTTGTCCTTCTTGGTTGTTTGCCAAGGTCCCCCATTCCAAACAATGGACGTGGACGCGTCCATGCCATTGGAAATTTATTTTCCAATTACTTTTTTAACTTGGCGTGGACGCGTCCATGCCATTGTATATTTGTGTTTGAATGACTTTTTTAACTTGGCGTGGACACGTCCATGCCAACAATGGCATGGACGAGTCCATGCCAAGTTAAAAAAAATAATTGGAACATAAATATACAATGGCGTGGACGCGTCCATGCCATTTTATATTTGTGTTCGAATGACTTTTTTAACTTGGCGTGGACTTGTCCATGCCAACAAAATATACAATGGCGTGGACGCGTCCATGCCATTGGAAATTTATGTTCCAATTACTTTTTTAACTTGGCGTGGACGCGTCCATGCCATTGTATATTTGTGTTTGAATGACTTTTTTAACTTGGCGTGGACACATCCATGCCAACAATGGCATGGACGAGTCCATGCCAAGTTAAAAAAAATAATTGGAACATAAATATACAATGGCGTGGACGCGTCCATGCCATTTTATATTTGTGTTCGAATGACTTTTTTAACTTGGCGTGGACTTGTCCATGCCAACAAAATATACAATGGCGTGGACGCGTCCATGCCATTGGAAATTTATGTTCCAATTACTTTTTTAACTTGGCGTGGACGCGTCCATGCCATTGTATATTTGTGTTTGAATGACTTTTTTAACTTGGCGTGGACACATCCATGCCAACAATGGCATGGACGAGTCCATGCCAAGTTAAAAAAAATAATTGGAACATAAATATACAATGGCGTGGACGCGTCCATGCCATTTTATATTTGTGTTCGAATGACTTTTTTAACTTGGCGTGGACTTGTCCATGCCAACAAAATATACAATGGCGTGGACGCGTCCATGCCATTGGAAATTTATGTTCCAATTACTTTTTTAACTTGGCGTGGACGCGTCCATGCCATTGTATATTTGTGTTTGAATGACTTTTTTAACTTGGCGTGGACACATCCATGCCAACAATGGCATGGACGAGTCCATGCCAAGTTAAAAAAAATAATTGGAACATAAATATACAATGGCGTGGACGCGTCCATGCCATTTTATATTTGTGTTCGAATGACTTTTTTAACTTGGCGTGGACTTGTCCATGCCAACAAAATATACAATGGCGTGGACGCGTCCATGCCATTGGAAATTTATGTTCCAATTACTTTTTTAACTTGGCGTGGACGCGTCCATGCCAACAATGGCATGGACGAGTCCACGCCAAGTTAAAAAAGTTATTGGAACATAAATATACAACTGCATGGACACGTCCACGCCAAGTTAAATTTATTCCATGCCATTGGAAATTTATGTTCCAATTACTTTTTTAACTTGGCGTGGACTCGCCCATGCCATTGTTGGCATGGACGCGTCCACGCCAAGTTAAAAAAGTAATTAGAACATAAATTTCCAATGGCATGCACGCGTCCATGCCAATTTTAAAAGGTAATTGGAACATAAATTTAACTTGGCGTGGACATGTCCATGCCATTGTATATTTGTGTTCGAATGACTTTTTTAACTTGGCGTGGACGCGTCCATGCCAACAATGGCATCGAAAAGTCCACACCAAGTTAAGAAAGTAATTGGAACATAAATATTTATTTATTGTATATTTATGTTCCAATGACCTTTTAAAATTGGCGTGGACGTGTTCCTGCCATTGGAAATTTATGTTCCAATTACCTTTTTAACTTGGCGTGGACGTGTCCATGCCATGCATGTATATTTGCAGTTTTCCAATGATTATTTAACTTCACATGGATGCGTGCATGTCGTTTGTTATGTGTTTTACATATTAGGGTTCCAATGACTTTTTAACTTGTCAATATTGTTGCTTTTGGAATGGTTACATGGACTTGTTTTGAAACTAAGGACATTTTGTTGCTAATTCTTGTATAATAGTGTAAATAATATTCGTATATTTTACTGTATGGACAATACTTGCTGTATTAATAAATTAGGCAACATTTTGTTGTCTGAATAAAGTTTACTTGATTTTTGTACAATTTAGCAAGTGTTATTTTTCAAAATTATGCCAATTTTAAATATTATAACAAATACGTCCGAACAGTTTTTATATAAATAATTGTTTGTCATTTTTTGGCAATAATGAAGAGTTTTGACAAACGTATATTAAGTGGAACAACGCAAAATTATGCACAGATTAACGTAATTCTCCCGAGAAAGAATCTTCTTTGGAAAAAGTGGGATTAATTCGGCACAAATGTCCAAACGAAATCTAAATTTGTGGCTAAAATCTCGTAATAAAAAGATTTTGTCCACAATATTGCTAAATAGAATATCGCACTTAGCTCTGGAACGTGTTTTACTCTCTACCAGTGTGAGATGTGCACCGAGTACGACGTATTTAGCAAATCCGTGCAATCTGAAATATTTTTGAGAGGAAAATTACAAGCATGGACCGCACTGTGTCAACACTTTCTTCACATAACATACTCTTAAGGAATTAAAGATGGAAGAGATAAAATGATAATTTCGGCAGAGTAAAATGTGGACCATGCTCACAACCGACTGCAACAACCTTTTTTAAAAGACAGCCAAAAGAAACCTTAAGAAAGTTTTGAGACCATCTATCAAATTTTGATTCAATAGTTGAATTTTTATGGGTTACTAAAGTAACTTAAATCGTACTTAAGAAATTAATATCAGGGACGTACCGAGCGATATCTGTTTGGGGAATGGGGGAGGGGGGAGGAGGTAAACTCAGAACGTGATATTTAATAAAATTTGTATGGTGTTAAAAAAGAATTTTTCCTATATTTTTCGATCTCAATTTTGCACAATATTTAACACGTTCCGCAATTCCAACATTTCGGAGCTCCCTCTTGGGAAATTGTGCCCTTTTTCTTTACTTTTTTTAGGGGTGTTACACCCACACACCCCCAACACCCCAGTAATTACGACCCTAATCGATATTAGAAAAAGTGCTTTATAATGGTGCTTCATCGAGAAGAGGCGCTAGACAACAGGAAATAGAGATTACGTCATGGTTGACGAGTGCGTACGATTTTTAATCACGAGTTGTGAAAGATTACTAACGAACGAGTGAGCGCAGCGAACGAGTGAGTTAGTAATCTTTCACAACGAGTGAATAAAAATGGTACAAACGAGTCAACCATGACGTAATTTGTTTATTATATATATAATGAACCGTGATAAATCGACAAAAAGGACTTTATAACGGTGGCCAATTGATAACAAAGTCAATCGACTTGAATGGTCCAAGGACAAATCAAATGTGTTTACAACATTTATTAGTTTAACATATGAAAAAGTGAAAACAATCATCCTAACAAATTAACAATCAACATCGAGATCAACATATACAGCTATGAAGATTTAATATAGCCAAAAGGAAGCCATTTGACAACTCAACACATAAAAATACATAATTAGACAAGTTGTCGCCACCTATACCGGTGGCTATAAAAACTGTATAAACTGTTTCAAAAAATTGTAGTTCAATCTGACTCAGAATCGCTCAGAAGTTTTAAACGTTTGTATGTTTTTGGTGGGCTATCCACATTTGTTATAGATAGTGTTGGAGATTGCTTGAGAGTATTTATTGATATATTTATACTCCCTCCACTTATCGTTGCGTTCGAAAACAGCGCCGGCATAGCATGTTCTTGGACATTGTGTTCGCTTGTCGTTTTCTGTCTGTTCGTCGACGAGTGAACGTCAACCCCTGAGTTTCCAGTGGTCAAGTTAGACAAATGACTCAGCTTTCCAGTGGCAACTGAACTGCACAGCAAAAAATCATTTTCTTATTAAGAAAAAAATTTCTTAATTTAAGAAAAAAATCTTAAAATAAGAAAATAATTTTCTTAGTAAGAAAAAATTTTCTTGAAATAAGAAATTTTTGAATCCCAAGATATCTTTTTTTTTAAATAAGAAAAAAATTTCTTAATAAGAAAACATTTTCTTAAAATAAGAAAATACGATTTTCTTACTTTCTTAATAAGAAAACATTTTCTTAAAATAAGAAAATACGATTTTCTTACTTTAAGAATATGTTCGTAAGACAAGAAATGAAATTCTTAAAATACAAAATTATAAAATAGTAAGACATTATTACTTAAATTTCGGAAGCAAGAAAATGTAAAATGCTAGTGTTATAGGACAACTTATATCTTAACAAGACTTAGAACAACGTATATCTTATTGCGTCAGGTAAATTTGTAGTTTTTATTTCGAATTGAAGAGACTATATGACCGGCAGCTCACGGTTGATCAAACACTAAATGGTCGGCAGTACATTGACTATATAGTTAAAGTTGAATCTTCAGTATAAGATAGATAAACCGATCCCCAATCCCAAACCCTTCTCTAACCCTAACCCCTAACCCTTTGATAATTAGACCGGCTGCCGGTAATATAGTCACTTTGTTTTTATTTCGTTTCCAAAATTTGAGCTCGTTTCAGTTTTATTTGAATCGTTGAAGCGAATTTTTGCCCTCCGGAATTTTTATCCAAGCAGGAATAGTTCGCCATAGTTCGCGTATTCGCTAAACGCCTGGTACCTAGTTTACCTTTTAGAACGCAGAGCATCGCGGGATAGCGTCGTTTTACATTTTTGTGAAAAATTTTTATATGTAAATATCCATGGATTAAAAAGCGCCTTCAAGGAAATTTAAATGGCAAATAACGATGGGAAAAGCATCAGAAAGTCCTTAAAATGTTGTTCAGATACCACAGGTAAGAATAATTGTATATTTGACTTGTTATTTCAACAGATTCATTGCGAAATAATGTAGTGATTTATATGACTGTTTACTTGAGCGAAGTGTGAAAATATTCCATTGAATGTTTGAATTTGCCGCGTTCGTTTTGCATATAAAACATGCAAATGTTGCTTTCAGGCAAGGGACGAAAGATTAAAATATAAATTCATATCTATTATTGTGAATTCCATACTAATTTACGCACTAATATTAACAATTTGACAATATTAAATTGCCTTTGACATTGGCACTTTGCTAGACCTTTCAAATGTCAAGACTCAAGGCTATATAGTGATAAGAAATAAGATATTATACATACGGATGTTTTTGAAGATCTGTTAGCATTTTAATACTTGAATAAGGATTGGAATTACAGGAGAATGACAGCATTTAATCTGATATTTTCAGTGTATAGATAGCTGAATAACAGAATTGCATCCTACTTTATTGTTTACTCTGTCTAATGCCAGAGGATTTTCCTACTTGCCTTGCCGGATAACTTGGCTACTGTAGAGAATGTTTAGTTTTCCCGACTTACTATACTTCACCCGGGAAACTCTGCAACCCTAGATAGAATGAATAGCCCAGGAATACATACAAATCATTAGGTATGTTTATAGCTTTCCTCTATTTCTATAAGCAGCTTATTCTTGCCTATTTTGTAATCATGTTTTTTAAACCTTTTGAATGATCCAAATTGTGTTTGTATTTTGTCATTGCGCAGCAATAATGGGGTAACTTGATTTCATATAAATAGACTGCTTTTTGTCCTGCCTGAGTGAGTAACTCACCTTGACGGGTAACTCGCCTACTGATGTACCGATATCCATATTGGTGTATCAGTCATCTTTGAATTTTGTGAAATGACATGCATTATCGGTATTGGCAAAGTATTGGTCTTTTATTATCAGTTATCAGAATATCTGTGAATTTCCATATGTCGGTGCATCACTAATACAGTTCAAGATTGTGTTTATATGAGAAAATGCCATCTTGCTCGCCGGGACAATTTTGTTATGTTGACATTGTTTTGACAGTTGTTAAAAATAGTTTGCAGCCCGGCATCTTTGAACATTCATCCTGGCCCAGCCTGCTTGTGAGTGTATATGTGGAGAAATTTTCATCCCAATAAGCAACATTGTGGCATCAGAGCCAGCCTGCTTGTGGATCCATATAAACACATGATAATTTTTTCTAGATAAATATACCTAATGCAGTAAGATCTTGCTTACCGGGCTGTCCCGCTAAGCGGTCCAGCCCAGCTTCCATATAAATACATTGTACAGCTGGTTTAAAAGAACCATGAACAGCAACCGGCTATATACTGTCAGTAACTGTGTGATATGGTATTGGACAGATTACTACATTTCTTAATATTGCAGCTTTGGTGCATGAATAAGGGATAATAGTCTACTGGGGACATGTCGCAAGAAAATGATAACTGAATCCAGGACATCTGTATCTGCCTACAGCCATGTCTCTGCTTAATAAAATTTATATAAAACATATGTAGTTTAATACTCCCTCTTTCGTCTTCTACCAATATGAACAGGTGATTGGCTGATTATAATATTAAACAATAAACTCTTTGTATTAGATAAGAATGATATTATATTATAAATAATATTAAATTAAATTAAATTAAGTGTGAGCTGTGAGCAGGTGACTGAAGCATCACAAAGTGTCACCATACCCCAGTAAGGTCTATATTCTAGAGGTGGAGCACTAGAGATGTGAGGGGGAGTCTAGAGAGCAGAAAACAAAGTATCCCTGGAGAAATTTTAAAAAAATCATGCATCCTAGCTTTGAAAAAGTTTTTTGAAGTGGTCATATCAATGGATTTGGCATGTCCGATTGTCTGATGAGACTTGGAAGTGTTAAACGTAAAATGAACCTAATAGGCCAATACACAATATGCTTTTACCAGTTTTATAAAGTCATTGACATTGTGCCGTTTGAATCCGAATACATTTTATGATGCAACTCCGATGTAAATAATAATTGGGGCATAAAGATTAAATCTAGGCAAGTCTATTTTATAAAAGCATTAAAAACTAAAAATAATGTTCGTAAAAAATCCAAATGTTCCTCCCGAGCAAGCTATTTGCATGAGAAGGCACTGCAAACTCTATTCAGGGGAGATAATAGAGTTTCAAAACTTTACAATTGCTCCAATAAACCAGTGAATGCACTGTCTTTTTCTATTTGAGTGTACTCCTACGTTTATTTTATATCATCAACACTCTGCATGTTGGAGTGGACTATTTAATTATTTTTTATTATGCCAAATGTTGGGGGGGGGGTGTTGAAATATTTTTTGGAGGGGTGGTCATTTTGTTTGGGGGAGGAGTTATAGCTAATATTGGGGGGGGGGTAGCACCCCCCCCACAAAATCCGTCTATGCTTTTTAATCTAAAGAGTTAACTTAGGTAACTGAGGAGTGACTCAGATTAGCAAACAAGTCTCCAGGTCTATTGTTCTTGCAATTTTGTATATATATAGCTATTTCAATTAAGGTTGTCCCCCAAGCAAAGCAGAAAAGTCGAATACAAGCGCGAAAGGCTGCTGAAAATCGCTAATAAATTCATTTATATTTCTGTATACACCACATATAATACTTAGAGTGATGCTTACATTCTCAATATGTAAGTAAACTTTTACAGATTACTAGCTGTATAAGGATGTACATATATGATGGATCTCCAGTGGCATTTGCATGATGTGTTTGGAACAGTGTTTAATGTGCATTATAAAGAAATCTATGGACTTTGAACAAACGGTTTGTCAGATAATATTGCTTGTCATGTGGAAAGAGTTGAAAAATTACTGCTTCAAGTCTTCAGGAGAACTTAAATTTGCTACAACACATTGCTGTGCAATCAGAACTACACCTAGTTGTGTAACAGTGGCTGAAAAAAAGAACTTGTATAAATTGACAATAATTTGATGTTTTGTATGTTACTCTGAGACCTGAGTGTATATCCACACCGGGAAGGCTAAAAAGTTAGCCTGACCATGGTGGGAATCGAACCTGCAACCTTTGGGATACTAGTCCAATGCTCTGCTAACTGCATATACACTCAGAGTAACATCAAAAACAATATTCACCTGAGTACCTGTACATATAAACACCCAAACAACACATTCTTAATAAGAAAATTCTTTTTAAGAAAATTTCTTGATTTGAGAAATTATTTTCTTAAAATAAGAAATTATTTTCTTATTTTAAGAAAATTTTCTTATTTCAAGAATTTTTTTTCTTGGGAGAATAACAAGAAAATTTTCTTAATAAGAAAATTCTTTTTAAGAAAAATTTCTTGTTTTGAGAAATTATTTTCTTAAAATAAGAAATTATTTTCTTATTTTAAGAAAATTTTCTTGGGGAGAATAACAAGAAAATTTTCTTAATAAGAAAATTCTTTTTAAGAAAAATTTCTTGTTTTGAGAAATTATTTTCTTAAAATAAGAAATTATTTTCTTATTTTAAGAAAATTTTCTTACTTCAAGAAAACTTTTTTCTTGGGAGAATAACAAGAAAATTTTCTTATTAAGAAAAAAAATGTCTTGATTTGAGAAAATATTTTCTTAAAATAAGAAAATATTTTCTCAATTTAAGAATTTTCTCTCAAGAAAATTTTCTTAATAAGAAAATTTTCTTAAGAAAATATTTCTTATTAAGAAAATTTTCTTGTTATTCTCCCAAGAAAATATTTTCTTATTTCAAGAAAATTTTCTTAAAACAAGTTTTTTTTTTCTTAAAATAAGAAAATGATTTTTTGCTGTGTGAGAGTTCTCGACATTTCCATTTGCTGTGACTCGTTGACAGTGGAATAATGAGTAACACTCTGCAGGTTCTTGTGGCCCGACAGTTGAATAATGTCTGTTGGTGGAAAGTTTTGGTTTACCAAGGCCTGCATCATTGTTTTCCTTCCGCTGTGGTTGGTAAATTTGGTAGTAAGTCCAGCTTTCGCAGCCATGTTCTTCATTATCGAATTTAGTTTATTAACCCCGGCGGGGGCTTTTTTGAACCAAGCTTTACATGAAACGGATTCAGGTTTCTTTAAATTGTTTACAGCAAGATAAAATGGGCTATCGTCGCTGTTCATTTCTGCCGGACGTTTTTCCGCAAAAAGTTTGTACGCAGCAATAGGATCTCTTTTATTTCCTTGTACGGAAAACATTTTTGGAGTTACTTTTCGCACATCTCTGGTGTTTTCCCCCGAGCGTGTTTTCCGTTTGCCTTTCGTTGTATTCCAAATATTCCTCGCCAGAGACCGTTTTATGTAATTTCACGTCGCCCCAAGTCATATCGCGATGCTCTTTACAGCCACGTAATCCAAAGTGTATTGTATTGTTGAACCAAAGAGTGTTCAGTAAAGCATCGGGACTGGATGTGCCCAGCAAGTCTTTTTCATACAAAACAGCTATGTCGTCTTCGCTGAGAGCAGATGAAGCATTCGGTTTATTTCCTTTCCCCTGTCGTTTTAAATCCTTTTGTTTTGAAACCAAAGCTTTTCGAGTCTGTTCAAACTGTAGATCTTTCATGATACTTAAACCATAGTTTTTCTTTTTTAAATGTCTTTCGAAGCTGGCTACCATACCGCGCAGGGAATTTGGCTCGTAATCCTTATTTTGTTTTGTACGAACCTTAATAATAAACTCGCTCAGGTAAAGGTTTAATTCCGCAGAAGGAATGTCCTCAATGCTTCTAGTTTCATTCTTGCTACTAAGAAACTCATTTAATAATGATAGATTTTGTTCAGTTTTTCTCTTTGTGTTTTCATTTTCTTGTTGTTCGATGAATTCGTCGACAGAAATGTCAAGGTCTGCAAAACGGGAAGCCATGGCCGGTAATTGGCGGGAAAATTCGATACTTTTTTTTCACATGTGAGAAAAATCGTCCGCGATCTCTGATTGGTCGGACGATTTTTTTCACATGTGAGGAATATCGTCTCAATTACGCAATGCGTCGTAGATGAGTTTTATCTTGGCACTTGCCGAGTGTGAATATTACGGTATGTATATAATAAAAAATATTCCTCTCTTACCTTTGCAGGTAAAGATGGAGCCGAAACAAAGAAATTTTCTCTTGACAAGTTTTTTCATAATGACTTTGAGAAGGGTGAAACCGATACTTATGAAGTGAGTGGTGATGATGTTGGGGCTGTTGTAATGATCACATTGAATAATAATGGCATGGGTGTGAAAAGTGATTGGTATATTGCTAAAGTTATTGTGGAGAAAGAGCTTAAAGGTGGAAACGAGAAGTATGAATTCCCTTGCTATCGTTGGGTTGTTCATCAGTTGGTCGTCTTTGAAGGCAAAGGTAAAATTACATACCGTGCGAATCATAGAAAGTATGGAAATGTACAAAATGGCGCTTCAAAACTGAAATTCAGAACTTTCTGTGAAAAGTTCTAAGGGCGTGCGTTGCTAATGGTTTCTGATTACTTAATTAACACTCTAGTGCTCTTTTAAAATTAAGCTCTCGAAGGCAAACAGGTTGATTTGACAAATCACATTAATTTTAATTAATGACTTGCACATAAAAATAATTTTTTAATACGTGATGTTAAGGCGGTGTTACATGCAATGTTCAACCACAGTATAAGGACTGAGCAGTAAGTTCACTCGGGGGTGCAAAGTGTCCAACGGATTCATCTGACTTCCGGTTTGGCCGCCATGTTAGTAAGGAAAGAGGAGTGAAGATTGTACTACAGCAACATGGTTTTTACACTTAAATGGCTATATTTTCCCGTTTTCTTGCACCGGTCGGCTTCAGATTGATAAAAAACAAATAGAGAAGGGTACTGCTTAATTTTAGACGCGTTTGGAGTAAAATAAGCAAGCAAAAATGCAGAAAATCGCGACGAATGTGAGGTGTTAGGAGTAAGCTTAGCCGCGCTGAATGTTTACCAAATTAAATTGGCGTTATTTCACGGTTTTGTGGACGAATTCTTCTTCCTATAGCCTACCACTTGTAAAAGAAAGGTAAGTTATCAAATTTTAATGGTTAACTGGTAATTCAACGCAAATAGAATTTAAGCTGTTTCAATGACAAACTGTGCTCTTGTTATAACTATATATTATAAGGTTGCTTAGCAGCAGTATTTTGGTCTATAGCTTGTTTTTCTGTGTTCATCTTTACAATATTTTTAGTATGACTAAGTATGGTCCTCTCAGTTATGTGCCAAACAAAGTTGATCGGTTTTTGTTCTCTCTTCTGAGAGGCTACCTGAACAAATTATGGCAATAGCTATACAGGGTGTATCAAAATAAACGCGATTCATCTTTTGTGCTTAATAACTTTCGAAATACTATTTCCAGTTAAACGCTTTTAGGCTTACTTCAAAGCCTGTTCTTTTCTCTTTCAAACACACTATTATCCTTGTCTCCAATGCTAGTAATAATTGCACAGGAAAAGATTTAGTAAAACCTATCATTTTTAGTTGCTGTTTAATTATGCAAGTTTACTATGTTATTATTTAGTCGGTTTAAATGTTAGAATTTTCTTCTTTAAACTTTAATGTTGTCGTCACTACATCTGGAAAAGCACGTATAAGAACAAATTAAAATTATTTTAAAAGAGACCAGGTTGTTTGAAAATCCTAAACGAATGCTAAAAATCGTCAAAACATTCTGGTGTCTGAGCCAGAGTGTCATCGAATTGCGATGTAATGTAAACAGAAATTATAGCAAGTTGATGTCAGTCAGCTTAGATGGTCCAAGCCAAAATTATATGGCATTTGAAGTTTCAAACTGAGTTAAAAATAGTGGAAGAAAAGCCGTAATTATACTTATTGTTACAATCCATTTAATAAAATGCAACAGTTTTTTGTTTTAATGAAAAAATCAGTTATTTTCATGAGAACGTTTAGTTATTCCATCTCAATTTTTTTAATCTCCAATCGCAATAACGTAAAGTATTATTACCCGCGAACCAATGAGTCAAATTTAAGAAATAACCCACTGTTGGAAAGCGGAATGGCTACGCTTTAAAAAGAATGTAAATTTTAACGTTTTCGTCTATTATTTGTTTAGCAATTTACATTTCAGTCGAGGATTGCGCTTTTTTTGATACACCCTGTATAATAACCACTGTATAGGCACTTCTAAAGTTCTAAATTGTCAATATAAATGTCAAACTTAGTAAAAATATGAACGATTATGATTGAAGTCATGTCGATTAAAGGTGCGACACATTCAAATATTTTTTGCCCTTTTTTTTCTTAGTTGTTCGAAAATCACGGTTGGCAAATTTCAGCGAGTAATATATTCTCATTCTCAAGAACAGCTTCTGGACATATTCCAGCAGGAATTCTTCACAGTACTGGAATGGCACAGGTTCTGTCTTGAGTAACCTGAAGATATCACTTCCAACAGAGGAACGCCTTCGTATAAATAGAGAAGTTTTCGAAAAAGACTGCTTCAAGTTGAACGACGTACTCCAGGAAACTAGCTGAAGGCACATGCAGACCTCCAAATTGGGATTTGTCTTGGTCATATATCTTGAAATAACAATCTAATGTCTTGTTGTCATCCAGATCATTTGACTCAGGTTGAGCAGCTGTCTACATAACTTGACTCGGTTGTCTCAGAATCCTAGTACTGATCTGCCACCCTATAATGTATGCTATTAGTAATATATATATATATATATATATATACATATATAGGCCCTCCAGGGGGTTTATTACTCCTACAGTACTACCTGTGTTGTGTTTGCAATGAAATATGGTACTGGTAAGCATTGTAATCTATAGACAAAGATACTCTAATGTTAAATTATAAAAAAAAATAATAATGAAACAAATTTTATATAATAAAGCAAATATAAAGAAATATATTTCAATTGATATTGTATGTAGCAGTCAATGTGACATTTGCTAAAGATAGAACAAGAACAGAACAGAACACAAGTCACAACACAACAAACATCAAGTTGATAATTTAATCAATATGCCACTGGCATTAATAAAACCAGGCTGCTGAACCACTAGCTACTGGCCTTTGGCCATACAAATCTGCAAGGGTGACGGAACACAAAATTATTACCTGCTGATATTAACATGTAAGTGGCAATCATAGGTGTATTCTGTGTGAAGTTCATACAGAAGATCAACAGTTATACCTCGACTTTTATTGTCAATTGTATTGAGAATTTTGAAAATCCATGCCAGAGATCTTCGTACGAAGATCTGGGTGGAAATACTTAACCCTTTAAGTGGCAATGCATCCTACTTTATTATTTTACTCTGTCTAATGCCAGACGATTTACTCATCAGGGGAATGTGCTGCCACAGTGCCACTCAATGGGTTAAGAGCAAGATTGTCTGACATTTGGGGGCATTGCTAATCAATGGGTTAAAATTCAATTCAAAATTTAAAAAAAATTGAACAAAAAAAAAGTTTAAAAAATTTAACACTGAGAGCAAAAAAATAAACAATATTAAAAAAATTAACACTGAGAGCACGAATTTATAAACCTTTCCCTAGATGTATACACAGTGGCATCATTCTAGTTTTAATATTTTGCAATGCAAATGTGTCTTGAATATCATTACTTCCAAACAATAGTTTATAGGTCTTTATACATTTGTCTCTTAGTAAAGTTGTACATGTTCCATCAGTGTATTCTCTAGACAGCAGTAAACACAATCTTTTGCAATCTTTTCCATCAGTGTATTCTCTAGACAGCAGTAAACACAATGTTTGTGACAACAACTTCGACTTTCTTCTTATACACGTTTTCAACATGATTGAAACCTTTGTCTCACTTGTTAAGACCAACGGTAATAATAAACCAGCTTTGCCAAATCAGCTGACAGCTGACATTCGTCGAAATTTTCCGCCTTTTTGCTTGCTTATTTTACTACAAACGCATCTAAAACTAAGCAGTATCCCCCTATATTTGTTATTTTATCCATCTGAAGCCAATCGGCACAAGAAAACCGAAAAATATTGCCATTTAAGTGTAAAAACCATGTTGCTGTAAAACAGTTCTAAACAAATCCCACTCCTCTTTCCTTACTAACAACATGGCGGCCAAACATGCGCGGCATGACATGCGCAAGGACAAAAACTTCAAAGGTTCCGACCCGAGTGAGATTACTGTTCAGTCCTTATACTGTGGTTTTAATAATAAACAGTGCATATTTTCATGTACAGAAGATAAATACAACAAAATATTTCATATTATATGGTTGCCTCTGTTTACCTTTTTTGCACAATTTACAACATTGCAATCCTTGACTTAAGCCTGGTTCACATTGATCGTAAACATTGGCGATGCCATTGTCGGTGGTCATTGATGCATAAAATGTTTTGTGCATTTTCTTCTTTGTTGCTCACAGACAATGGATCGTAGAACATCGCCGATCAATGTGAACCAGGCTTATAGTTGAGACATGCAGTACACAATTTCAATTAAGGTTTAAGCTTGTCCCCGAGCTAAGCGGAAAAGTCGAATACGAGCGCGAAAAGCCAACCTCGTTCCCAGGGCTTTTCCCTTTTTGTCATTGGGAAGGGAAAAGCCCTGGGAACGAGGTTGGCGAAAAGTTTAACACAGTACTAAAATGCGGTGCCCTAGAAATAAAACTCCGTTAAGTATAAAGTGATATTCAGTACGCTACATTCTTCTGTCCGCCGCCAGTCGGTCCGTACGCTAGGATTAAACTGCGCTTTAAAACGTTCAAAATAAAATATTTGGGGGCTTTTGGGCTTAAAATACTATCAAAATGAAGAGAGAAGTGAGATGAATCCACTGGTATACAGCTGAAAAAGAGAAAACGATACCAAAGTGATCAAGAATCAAACCTACTGCATTTTTTTATAATTAGTTTAATAATTTTGAGCGATTTGTCAACAATACAATTTCGCTTGATTTTCAAAGGTTATAAGTTGCTAGAATACTGGTGTTTAGTAATATATTTCACATCCGTAAGTTCAATTTCTTACGCTGAATCGAACGGTGATATTTTTATCCTTATTGTGCCATTAGGCATTACAAATACAATATCATATATTTCACACTACAGTTTTCACGTTTCCACAGCTAACTATTAGAGACTGTTGTTGGATAAATTTTATATTGATGATATGACACCAATATGCTTCTCATAAAGTAGTTATCATAGATATCTTATATACACTAGATAGTGCATCTAATTATTCTGCAATTCAAAAATTGAAGCCGTGATTGCAGTCTCAGGTCGTTCCCATGAAATGAGAAGATTCGTATGTTTTCTATTTCTTAAACAGCGAACTTAAACATTAAGTTAACCCTATTCCAAATACATTTTCAAACTATTCAAATGATGAAACTTATTGTTGTTTTTAAGCGTTTATTAGCAAGTGGGAACGACCAACATGGCCGCCATCTATTCAAATGGGGGTAACCGCTGGAATATTCGTGGTTTCAATTTTACTAAAAGAGATGCGCTATCTAGCGTATATAATATATCTATGGTAGTTATCCATTAATTAATTAAAACTACGTTGTGGTTTAAGTTATAACCTTTTACCTTGAAATTGTCTTTGGGTCGTTTATATTCAGTTTCAGTATATTATGATCGTGCACGGGAATTCAACGATCCAAATTTCGGATTTTCTGAGTCGTGCACCAATAAAAATGCATTAACTGAACTAGCAAGAATGTCCAGAGTTAGACACAATGCAAAATCCATAGAAAACAGATAGAATTCGTTGAAAATTTTAATGAAATTGTTTGAAACATTTTGCCCGCTCCACGAAAGGCGGCCATTTTGAAAAGGATAAATTAGGTTTTATTAGGCAGCTCATTAACATTCCATTTTGTTGCTATCGACGATCCGTGAAAAATGCATGCCGAAACCTATACTCGCCTGGAGCATAGGGTGCCCCAGCGAGTAATAAAACTAAAGGATATAACCTGTCAAACACTGATCACTTTTGTTTGCGGCAGCCAATCACAAAACATGTTCATTTTAGCTTCGTTCTTACCGCTTTAGAGGGATTATATATGAGGGTCCTAAAGGGGGTCGTATTCCCATTTCCCAGCCCAAATTTTGACTAAATCCCATTGTCCCAGAGCACAAATCCCATCATCTCAGTGGCTGTCCTGCTCAAGTCTTAATCCTATTCCCATTTTCTATTGTTTTTTTTCTGATGAATCCCAGTCCCAGTGCATGAAATCCCATTTTCCCACCCAAAAATAAGCAAATCCCAGTTCCCATTTTACCCCTTCAGGACCCTCATATATGGATCTGAAATAAATTAAATTCTGTACGGGATATACTGCGCTTTCGGCATATAATATCCCACAGGATAATGGATAAGGTATGAGAAGATTGTTGATATTTACAAGACCTAATTTTTTCCAGAATTTGCGATTATAGATGAGTTTTAATTTAATATCTTTTTATATGATAGGTTGCCCAATGCCTATAGGCGTCTTATAATTTGACTGAAATATTCAAAACTGCGCCTCTCTTGTTAAATAGGACAAAAATATATTTCTGCAAACAATGCAAAAGTATAAGTTCTGGTTTCCTGGTATATGGACGACGTATGCATTCACTGTATAGTAATTAGGAATAAATATGACATGGCAGGTAACATAAAAAATTTGAAATTTCGGTAGTGAAATTAAAAAGTTACATTTCCAAAATTTAATTACTGCAAATCGACGTGATTTTCATGATCAATATTTTTTGATATCTTTAGCTAGATGTACTGGTGGTTGTCAAAATGGTGGTACATGTATATACCCGAACTGGTGCGTGTGTAAAACAGGTTGGAGAGGCTCTCGATGTCGTAGTGGTAAGAATGGTTTATACAATTATTTAATATAATGGATACAGAAAACAGTACTTATAGAATTTATAGAAAACAGTCATACAGCTATAGAAAAACAAGTGGGAGTCTGAGAAGACGAGAAATAGTTAATCAACGCTCGCGTACTATAAAAAATGTTATATTGTGAGATTTTTTTGTTACGTATCATGCGCTCAAAACTAATGCGTATTATATATCACTTGAGGTTATGACTAAATTCAAAATTTTTATTTTTCGATACGTTTCTCAATCGGCAAACAAACTTAAAAAGTATGTTTAGTGCTTTATTTGTAAAATAATGCTAAAATGAAGATATTTTAAATGGTACGCCAAAGAGAAAATGATGTCTGAAGTTCAGTAAGTTTTGCTTATATGGCTGTAAATATGGCGTCAATTTTAAAGCATCATTGATAATTGTATTTTAATTGACAATTTTTAACTATTATTTTATGTTTCTCAACCGGCAGATGCATTTAAAAAGGTTGCTAACTCTATAAACTAGAGAATAAAACTAAAACAATGTAATTTTGAGAGGAACGCCAAAAAGATTTTAGGTTTTGAACACTTTTCATTGCAAATACGTGACATTGAAAAAAATTGCCTCTTAATAACAATTATACTTTAAGCCCCATACGAATATTATATACACTTATTAAATGTCACGTCTGCTTTCAACAATTGTAATGCTAGCAGAAACGAGTTTAAAATTAATAATAAAATTAACTGCATATCTATAATGTTGGCTGCTGTGCATGGTATTTTTCTTCATCTCTTTTAAATTCTTAACCCATGCATATACGCTAATGCTAACCCTGGAAATTTAAAATTAGTAAGAAAAAAGTTCAATTTTTTTTAGAAAAGTGCACCATGTTATATAATTAACTAATTAAGGGGTGTAGACACGCCCCTTTGATAAGTTTTAATAAATAGATTGACATTTATTTTTAACCTAGCTGTGGTTTAACGTAAACAACAAGAGCGAAGTTTCGCTCAAAAATAAACACAGTATTCAGTATGTCAGTATAGGGCCATTTATACGACTATACCAGCGAAATAAGCCGTGGCTCGTCTTATTTAAAGCACGAAAAAAATACTATGTAGTCCCGTATAAATGTTCTTTTTCGCGACTTTATTTTCGCTTGTATGTAAACTCACATCAGGCTATTGACTATTTTTCACACAAACACACAAAAAAAACATGAAATTATTACCATTCTATGTCCTACACGCGAAATTTGATCCATTAACACTACATGCCGTCCTTCTTTTACCTCGTTCCAGACTTTTTCCGCGAGCCCCACCCTAGCAGAATTGAATTCGACACATGCAAAATGCGACGTCTGAAACAGGTCGCATTTAGCTCGCACTTAGCACGTATTATGCGACCGGTCGGGTCGAATTTAAAGTTAAGGTCGACCGCAATTAAAAACGTCGCATTTAATCGTTTCAGACGTCGAATTTTGCATGCACATAATTCAAGCAATTGAATTCGACACATGCGAAATGCGACGTTTGAAACAGGCCTAACATGCAGCATGGCCAGAAATTCAGACATGCGCCCGCAATATATCTCAGCGGTTTTTCCCTTGAAAAGTTATTCATACCTAACAAACGCAAGTTTTAACTAAAAAAATACATTTGCTTAGTTTTTTGTTTAAATATAGCAGAAAAATACATATATTAGGTATTGACGGCCTTTTACATACCTTTCATTTATTATGATGGGATATAAAGTGATACGCATGGTAAACGACTCAAATATTTTGTGTATACATCGCTATCCCTCCGTGTAGCCCACACTGAAAGACAGCCTGGTTCCTAAGCTTCTTGTTGATATCAAACATGGACGACAATTCATGAAACATCGTTCTTCTTGCAATGTTTTACGGCCTATCGACAGGGTATTTATGGGTAAAATATCAACATTTTGTCCCGTAAATTGGAACAAGTTAAAAAAATCGTATCACTATGAAATTATGCAGACAAGCAGGGGACAACATATATTTTACGACACGAAGTCTGCAAATTTCATGAAGGGTTCGAGGGATACATGCGGCCAGAGCGAAATGTAGGTTTTGAACGATTTTCTCAAGTTTTACTATACTTTATTATACGCCGATGTACTATGAAGCGAACTTGAATAATGGAACAACTTATAGGTAAGATCCCGATGCGAAACTTTCCTGTTTTACGGTCCAGATATAGTTTATATTATTGCGAAGTCTGCAAATGACATAGCTATTATCAAACAAGTTTAAATTTCAAAAAACCGCACCACTCCTAATGATTTATATATAACAAATCCGCCATTTTGTTTGTCAAAGTTCGCACATGCTCAGAATCAATGTCCGTAATTTCTGGCCATGAAATAAAAACGTGAGCCCCAAATATTTTTCTGCTCACCGCATCTGTCATTATGCCACCCGTGCTTCCACATTGTTGGAGATTGTCAATATTTAATATTTAACTGTTTATGGCATACCTGAAGTTAATTAATGCGCAAGTGTCAATCAAAAAGCATGCGGTTTGTACATTGCAAGAATTTGTGTGATTGTGTTGAGACGGGGCGAGAATAAATATATTTTTCATAAAAGCGTTTGAAATCTCTACTTTTAGTGAGTTGTTGTGAATATAGGAGGCAATTCACGACACACATATTGGTTTGACGTTTCCACTATAGAGACGCTTCAGATTAATGTTTAAGAAATAGAAAGTAGAAGATATTACATAGTAAACAATTTTACTCAAAAGATCGACATTAAAATTCACCTAATATGTACTCAAAGACGTCACGCACATGATTTTACTGTCGCGAGCCAAGGAGCAAAAACGATTCAAATTCAGGGTTGGTAACTTGGCTTTTTTGTGGCCAAATAACTCGATTTTGGCTTTTTTGTTTCTTGTTTGCCTTAAAAAAATGTTTGGCCTTTTGGCTTTTTTATCAATTGACAGGAATTTTCAGTATTTTTTAGCATAATTTAATACCGCGAAAGAAGGTTAAACCATATAGAACAATGTAAGAATTGCCTTAAGCCATAAAGAAACATGTAAGAATTGTGTGTCGTTGTCAGAGGATTGAGGATAACCCAGTTCTATTGACACCCAATCTGATCTCAGGAAATTCAGCCAATTGTCAGGCTGAATAACTAACCAATGAAACGTTTTTATAGCCATGTCTTCGCAAACGTTCGCCCCTCAGTATTTTGCATGTAAAAATGATAAATTTTGCTTTAATAATTTAAATAAATTATTTGGGTTGTTTCTACTTGTACTACTTTTGTAAAAAAAGAAGATACGGCATTGAAGTAGAAAGGGTCCTATTAAAAATATTGTTAAGATTTGATTTTTTTTTGGCTTTTTTCAACAAATGAAATTTGGCCTAATTTAGTGGAATTTGGCTTTTTTCAAAATGTCACTAGATGACAAAATTTGATAAACTTTTGATGGTAAAGCTGCGGGGAAACTGTTTAATTAAAATGGGGGGCAGTGGTACACAGACCAATTTGGTAATCTTTTTAATTTCTGCATCTGGGCTGCTGGATTTGCCATGAAAGACGTTAAATCGAATAAGTTTCGTCGTGTTGCTCAGTTTTAATTTTTGAAATTATTGTATTTTTGCCGAATATCTAGCATTATTTTTCACCCTGCTCGGTTTCCTTTGGTCTTAGCGGGGAATATATTCAATATTCCCCTCTAATCAATTTCCGTTTAATAATCCCCTCTAATATTCACCTGCAATTAATAATCCCCTCTAATATTCACCTGCAATGTCTTTGCAGCACAAAAAAATGAGAAAAAAACAACATAACGAAGGCAATATTGCATTAAGAATTATTTCTATTCTGACCCATTAACGCGACCTCGCAGTGTGAAAAATAAGTACGTTATTTTGAGGCACCTCGGGGATATGTGTTTATTCACCTCGGCGCTACGCGCCTCGGTGAATAAATCACATATCCCCTCGTTGCCTCAAAATAACCTATACGTCTTCGTCAGAAGCGTTGAAGGTACCTTCTAAATCACAGTCCTTTTTTTAAGTTTTGGGTATTCCTGTATCCTTTTCCAGGTTTTTCTCGGCGATCAGTTTGCACAGAGCTTTTGCCCAAAACTTGTCGAGACCAAAACAAATTCGACGAATGCCAAGCTGGTTAATTTTACTATTTCTACACGTAGAACTATAGACAAAATTGCTTTGTTCCTTTGGTCTATTCATTCTTACTTTCTGATAAAATTTTGTATTTTAAAAACTCTAAGAGGTGTTTTATATTTTGCCTAAAAAGCAGAGATGACGTGACGTAACGTAACGTAAAGTAACGTAACGTATCGTATCGTATTGGGGGGTGTATTATATTATATATTTATATTTATATTTAATGCGCATGTTTGTTTCCTTATATTTATATTATATTCAAACATTGTAGATACTGACGAATGCAAAACGGGCCAGAGCCGATGTAGTTACAAACGAGGATGTAGAAATATGGCAGGTAGCTACAGATGCACATGTCGCTCAGGCTATAAACTGCTCTCGGATCAACGCACATGTAAAGGTATTTGCTCAACGTGATTTCTTTTTCATCGATTAATTAAAACTAATATTCACCAAAGTGGGAGTGAATAGTGCAAGGGTTTCACCGAGATGCAAAGCATCGGGGTGAATATCCTTGGACTTTTGAGCGACCCTGTATGAGGTGAATAATTGTTTTAGGATATAAAATAAAATAAAATAAAATAAAATAAAATAAAATAAAATAAAATAAAATAAAATGAAATGAAATGAAATGAAATGAAATGAAAGGAAAGGAAAGGAAAGGAAAGGAAAGAAAAGGAAAGGAAAGGAAATGACCATACAAAACGAAATTGACTAAAAAACAACGAAAATATTTTTAAAACATTTTGTATAACAGCTTCCATAAGAGTTGTAAACAAAACAGCATTACAAGCTTTTAGTAATTTTATTTATTAGAAATAGTAAATACCTCCTCACACTGTAAAACAAGTAAAGTTTAAAAATATTTACTCGTCTGTAAGCGGAACAAAACCGGAAGCCATCTTGTTTTTGTCCGGAAGTGCAGGTAGGTAGGTTAAACTTTATTTGACTACGCTAACCCCTACAACGAAAGCTGATTTCGTTAGAAAAGAGTTAGAAGAAAAAAACTGAGAGGACAAAGTGGGCAAGTTCTGTAGTAGTTGTACCAAAGGCTGATAAGTCTATAAGGTTGTGTCGAGACTATAAGGTTACAATAAACCAGTCGGTGCAAGACGAGCAGTATCCTCTTCCCATTACACATGATTTGTATACTATGCTAACAGGATCTAAAGTTTTTAATAAACTCGATTTATCTCGTGCATATGCTCAGCTAAATGTCGTTAAAGAGAGCCAAGAGTATCTTACAATAAACACACATAAAGGGTTGTATGGCTACACTAAGTTACCTTTTTGGGTTAAATCTGCACCTAAGAGATTTCAGTCTAAAATGGATCGGATTCTCCAAGGGATAGAGAAATGCGTGTGAAAGCAGGATGACATTCTTATTGGTGGGAATGACTGGAGAGAGAATCTGAAGATATTAGGTGAGGTTTTAGAAAGATTATGTCGGCATAATGTACACTTAAAACAGTCCAAGTGTGAGTTTCTAAAACCAGAAGTTGTGGACCTAGGTCTTAAAATTAATGAAAAGGGCTTGCACCCGGTAGAGGAGAATGTGGACGTTGTTAGGAAGGCCTCTGTGCCATCTAACGTCAGTGAGCTAAGATCTTTTTTGGGTATGGTATAATATTATAATTTATTTCTTCCAAATTTGGCAACAACCTTAGCACCTTTGCATAAGCTTTTAAAAAAAGATGTCCAGTGGAAGCTAGTGGACGTCCGAATGTCAAAAAGCTTATGATGTTTGTATAAACAAAGTGTTACTAATGATACCCTGTTAGTACACTACGATTTAGATAGGAAATTAAGACTTGCTTGTGATGCATCAAGTTACGGACTTGGTTCCGTTCTGGCTCGGGGATAATAAAACTAAATAATGTAAAAAAAAAACGTTGGTCGCTACATTTAAATATTTCATATTAGCCGGTATAGCTAACATTGTTTATTTTCATTAATTGAGCGCGTAGGCGTTGTTGGAGTTGGCAGGAGGCGTTCTGGAATTTTCCGAGAGAACAGGCTACTTATGGGATACACCAAATGATCGCATTACCGGTGTTTCATCCCTTCTATTATAATATATTCTTCCCTCGCCTTCCGTTCGCGCCCGCAATCCTTGATGTTATTTTCGTTGGAACGCCATGTAATATTTTCGTTTTGTCAATTGATTCGCCATATTTTGAACAATAATAAAATATGTTGTTTATGTTGTGAATCATCGTTCGAAGCAATGTTTGAAGCTATTCACTGTAAATGCAAGCTCTTATGATTTATACAAAGTAAGTGCAATAATTTATATATTATTACGTTATGATGTTTTATTCATATTACGTTTAATATGATGTTTTGTTCATATTATTGATATTCATATAAACACAGTTCTTAGTTGGACCCCCTGTGGTTTCGTACACATGAATTAAATGAAGCAAGAGAATGTTTGTTTCTTTCTTCATCTGAAAGGCTGTTCCACAAGACTTTTTTAAAGATATTCAGTCTTAGGTTTGGGCATAAGCACATATTAATTAATGTATTATGATCCACACAAGATTTTAGCTTTCTAATCGCCCCAATTCCGAATGAAATCTTCTTAGAAATTCTATCAATATGCTTATCCCACGATAGAAACTCGTCAATATGAACTCCAAGTGCTTTTATTTCTTTCGACCTTTTTAATTGGTGTATTACGAACAAATACGTTAGGAGCAGCATGCAAGTGAATTATTGATTTTGTACCGTGATCCTATTAGGAGATAATCAGTTTTGACTAGATTTAGAGATAATCTATTTGCAGAAAGCCATTGTTTAACGTTGGTAAGGTCATGATTTATGGCCACCTCTACGTCTTGAATTGACTTGCCAGATATAGTTAGAGTCGTATCGTCGGCAAACATTCTTGTCGACGAGTACTCCAAACTGTTAGGCAGATCATTTATGTAGATTATAAGAATAAGAGTGGACCAAGAATTGAACCTTGAGGGATTCCACATGTAACCAACTTCGTGCCCGACAGAGCGCCATTAACGGAGCACATTTGGGTCCTATTCGCTAAATAGGATCCTAAAAGGTTTAATGATGGCTTCTGTAGGCCATAAAGATCAAGTTTCGACAGGATGTCATGATTTATGGTGTCGAATGCCTTTTGTAGGTCCAGAAAAACAGCTATATTAAACAAACCACGGTCCATATTAATGATTATTCATTTGTACTTTTACCATTCATTTGTACTATCTAAAAAGCAGAGGTTGTAGAGTGAAACTTCCTAAAACCAATTCGACGAGGGAACAAGGAACCCGGAGCTAAGCAACCTAAGTCAAATTGCGCGTAAAGCACAATCCATACACCTCCCGACTGTATGCTATTCTTATACACACAAGGTCTGGATATGAGGTATTCTGCAATCTGATTGGTTCTCTACAAGCAGGATATTAGCTCATACCATGGTAGTAGAGATTAGAGAAAAACAAAATGGCGGCTGAAACTGAATTTCCGATGTTTTGCGAACGAGAAAACGGCAAGTTGTTCACACTTTTTATAGCCTTTGCAGGATTAAAAACACAATGAAAAACTCCCACAAATTGTTTACAGGTTATCAAATGAATTTTTAAAATTTAAATTGATTAAAAATGTATATTTTGGAAAAAGTAATCGGCCGAAAGAGCGAAGATAAAAACATAAACAAAATTGAAAAATATTGAAAATATCCGAAAAGCATAGTCTGTGAATTAAGACCTTGTGTATATAATAAAACAGTTATATCCACTCACTCTCGTCGAATATGAGCGATAGCCGATTCGGCGCTACGCGCCTCATCGGGTATCAACTCATATTCGACTCGAGTTCATATAGAATAACTGTTAAATGTGGTATATGGTATGATTATAATTCAGCTTCGTATTCTGTTGGACCAACATTTGCTTCTAAGAAATTCAATAATGTAATCGTTAAAGGAAAGTACCGTACAACTACCCCTCCCCAACTTTTCATAGTTCTTTAACAGTATATTTATATATACTTCTTTTCTTATACTAGTTAGTTCACATATAATCTGTAGCAAATATGTATTAAGTTTGCCAGTTTTACACTAGTCGGGATTTTGCGCAAGGAGCGCAATTTTTCATTGTCTTGTGATTTCTCGGGTGGAGTTAATTAGGAAAGACAAGAAAAATTCCGCTCCTTTATTATAATCTTTAATCTGATACTCCTAAATCAGCATACACTATACTAGGAGATACTTATATTTGTATATGCATTAACAAAATAATTATGAACTAAATATGTGGAAAACTTTAAAAGGAAAATTGTACAATAAAAGTATCATGCTAAAACTGAATATGCTCTAATGCAGCATTTTTAAAAGTGTTGATATTTGTAGGCTGTTTGTTAAAAGGGGACTAGTTTGTTCCAAGTTACAATAGTTCTTGGGAAAAATGAAAATTTGAAAATATCATTGTTACAATAAACTTGCCGAAACTCGAAAGGGTTGAAGATTGGGAAGTCTGGATTTTCTTTTTAGAGTGCACACTTCAGAGGTAGGTTTAATTCAACGCAGCCTTGGTGGATCTTGTAGAACATACACGACTGGTTAAGTAGTCGACGTAGCTACGCCGTTCAAGTGTGTCCCATCCTAAATTGTTGATCATTGGGGAAACATGGCTGTATCTACACAGCGAATTTCGCCCAAGTCGGAACAGATCTGCAACAGATCTGTTAAAACCTGATGTCAACAAGCCGATATCTGGATGCGTTCGCTCGCCTTGTACCTGTCTGTTCTGACAGGTCCGCAACGGCCTGTCAACAGGTCTGTTACAAGCTGTTGTGACAGAGCTGCAGCAATGCTGTTTTCAACAGGCATGTCGCAAGTTGTTGACACAGAACTGCAGCAATGCTGTTTTCAACAACTTACGACAGACCTGTTGCAAACCGAGGAAAGCGCCTTATGAAGCTTGTGTATCCACTATTTTGAACAAAAAAAGGCAAAACAGGTTGCCATATTTCGGTTGTAAACACTTATAAACAAACTTGCGAGATAATTTTTGAGCAAAACAGTCGAAAAAATACGACAAATTAAAAAAAAGTTCTTATCGTAAACAATTTTCAAAATTAAGCATATTTTTCTTCAAAATAGTACATACAATAATACATAAGGCATCTTCCTCGCTCGCAGATTTCACTTGAAATTGGGAAGAAATTATATAACGAATTACATATTCATATCAACAATGAAGAACGTTGTAGTGATTGTAGTGAACACTCGGTTGTTCATGTATTTGTCATTTCTTAAGCTCTAGATTTTGTGTTCTCATTGCCACAGTTTCTTCAAAAATCAAAACAGCTTTGAACTTGTTTGTTTGAGGCAGTTGTTGAAATGTTGTTTGGCTCAAAATTCAAAAACAGCTAAACATGATTACGTGATTGATATGTTTGTAATATTTCGTCCAATTGCAACGAGGAATGATGACGTGCACACGCCTTTCTCCAATCAGATCAAAGAAATATAGCGATAGCACACGTCAGTAAATTGGAATTTGGATTCTGGAAATCGGAACTATGTTTTAAAAATAAAACAGCGGCTTTTGCATTTAATCAGAATAGATACTATAGACTATAGTCTCTCCTATGTGATTTAATATTGCCACCAATGACAATGATTGAATGAGAAAGTGAAGCCGGAAGTGTCCATTTAGTTCGATTTTTCTCTTTACTCACATTTTCGATTTGTTTCCCAACAACAGGCTTGTTGAAACTTGTTGTGACAGGACAAAAATTGTTTGTTTTGGACAGGTTTGTCGCAGGCCTGATAACAAGCTTGATGTAGACTTGACAAAAACAACTCGCGACAGGTCTGTTGGAACAAGTTGTAACAAACCTGTTGATTTCAACAGACTTACTGCAAGTTGTTCTATCAGAGCTGTTATCTCTTGTTACCTGTTCCCGCAAGCCTGTTACCGCCTGACAAAACCAACAGACCTGTCACGACTTAATGTTGACAACTTGCCGCAAGCCTGTAAAATCAACAGCTTGCGATAGGCCTGTGAGATTGCTGGCTGTGTAGAAAAGTCGTTAATAACAAATCTAGCGGCGCGATGTTGAATCATTTCAATCTTCTCAGAATTCCGTTTAGTATGAGGGTTCCAAACTCAACTAGCGTATTCAAGCTTAGGGCGGACTAGGCTGATACTCTATAATGGCTTTAACTGTAGTAGAGCAGCTTCGTAAGATGCGTTTATTAAGCAAGTCAAGAGTGAAATTAAGTTTTTTACAAATATTGTTACAGTGTTCATTCCAGTGCAAGGTGTAATGGTGTCCCCTAAGGGTAAGGGACCTGTCGTTATTAATGGGAGGGTGGCGGTGGGCGAGAAAATTTTTCCCGGAATTGGGGGCGGACTCAAAGTGAAAAATATGCGACCCCAATTTTTTAATACTTTCCTACTCGTTTTTAATCTCTCGCCTTTATCATATATTTACCACAAAATCGCAGTTTCCATACTTTATTACGTATATACAGTTCACCATAGGATTCGAAGTAAATGACAACTATTTTGAATACGGGTCCTCGGGACGGCTCTACAAAATGTTCAATATTTGGTATTTATCACCCACCTCCCCCCTCCCATTATGAATGACCGGTCCCTAAATGACGATGGTACTAGAAATGGTGACCCCTCCGCGCACAAACTTGCGCCTAGTGGAAAACCTGCTTAAGCCTGCGAACATTGCGTAGGTTACTACAAAGCGGAACATTAAATAATGAAATAATACTTTTCTTAATTATAAGACGCCGTAGTTCACAATTTTATGTTCAATGTTAAATAACATGTGCATTTACACACAATACCAACGCTCGTTTAGTCTGCTACTTGTTTTTGATCATGTGACGTAGGCCTATTATATTTTCTCTTACTAATGATCAATGAATCATCTCAACATCCTTGACCAGAAAAATATAAGATGAAACACACTTCGAATATTAGCATCTTATAAACTCAAGATTCGAACTATTTATTAATGTCGCCGCCCCGGCTCGTACGCCTATATGAAAGTCATTGTCAAAGCTAGCTTACCTTGAATTGTGTTCTCTTGTTTAAATAGCTCGAATCTTGAGTTTACGTTCAAGATGTTAATTTTCGGAGTGTTTTCATTTTCTATGAATCATCTCGCTTCTAGACATTGATGAGTGTTCTACTGGTCGACATTCGTGCGGCTCGAATACAAGATGCCAGAACAATCCAGGCAGTTATAGTTGCCCTTGTATAAGTGGATTCAAGTCAACTAGCTCATTAGCAAAATCTTGTCAAGGTAAAAGCAAGTTTATATTATCAATGATTTTTCTGAGATCACAGTAAGAATTTTGCATGGCATTGGTGGGTAAACTCTAAGTTTACTAAGAAGGATTTTCAAGAAATATTTGAGGGAACTAACTCAATACAATTCAATATAATACAATGAGAAATTTTGAAAAGTGTTAGACAATGAATCATGCAGTTCCTTTGAACATTACTTATACAAATCCTTCAAAACTAAGAATTGACCCATGCAAAATTTCTGTAGTGAATAATTGTGTTTAAATTAACCTCCGTGACCAACGTGAAACAGTGTCCAAATTACTCTTGAACGAGTTAAAACTCCATGGCATATGGTTGAATGCTGTGGTCGCTACACGACGAGCAAGAGTTAGTCAAAAGCATTTTTGAGATATTAGGGTGTTTATTTATTTCATACTACTGAATCGATCCTGTCCAAAAAAATAATAGTCAATCTTATCATGGCCTATCGAAGGGGAGATGACTGTGTCATTAGAATAACAATATAACTCATTATCTGTGTTAGTCAACGTGTATTCATAAATATGATCCTTCACCGTCACGTGTGTATTGTATTTCTGCCAAATCCACCAATAGCAATTTCCAGTTTCCCTATTGTTCGAGTCACAGATAGGTGACTTTCCTAAAACATTGCTATTGGTTAGTTGGGTAAAAATACAATACACACGTGACGGTGAAGGACCAGATTTATGAATAAACGTTGACCAACATAGATAATGAGTTACATTGTTATTCTAATAAGTTTCACAGCCATCTCCCCTTCGATAGGCTATGATCTTATACGTCTACAGTAATCGTTGGTAATAGACATGCAAAGCCATCGAATCGTGCCTTAATGCAGACAGTAAATTGTTGCAAGCTCAAACCACCGTTAAACCGGGACCGAAATGTATTCAAAGTTATTTTTTAGTTTTTATGAGCTATTACCAAAGACCAAAGTGCTTCATTTTATTCGGATTTTTTTTGACAAAACAATTTACTATCGATTTGCATTGCTATATAATCGCATCTCAAATTGATTCTCGAGCCAATCTTATAACTACTTTAGTCACATGGAATAATATTTATCTTCGCGAGCCAACCGCTCAAATTTCAAAAGGAGCCATTTTGAAAATCTAAATGAATAAATCCTTGGTCGCACACTACACAACGACATATAACAATACGTTAACTTGTAAATACGCGATAATTGATAAAAAAATTATGTATTATATGTTTTAATGCATACAATAGACTGCATGTACAGTATTTTGCCATATACCTCATCCTTGCAGATATCGACGAGTGTAATCCAAGCAGTGGTATGGTGCATGGCTGTCAAATGAGGTGCAAAAATTTTCCTGGAGGTTACAAGTGCTATTGTGACAAGGGATTCACACTTAGATCAAATCGAAAAGATTGCTCAGGTAATTCATTATCCCCGAGCCGGCGGCGCGAAGCGCCGTGCGAGGGTACTAATTCCCCCCGGCTATTTACACCCGGGGAAACGAAAGCATTAGGGAAGTCTAAAGTTCATCAATGAGCGCGGGCGTCGGTCACCAACGATGGGTGGTCATCATCACTGATCTCAAAAATATGGCGGACTGTCATGAATAACGGACACTGATTGGTCCAATTTAAAGTTTGCATTATAACGACTGCATGACGACAGCGAAATAGCAAACATTTCTTGATTTGATGAGTTGATGATTGATAAATTTCTTGCAAATATTCTTCATTTTCTGCAAGATTTTGTAAATTTCAAGAAAGAAAGGGCGAAAGAATCAGCTAAAAGAAGGGAGCCGACGTTAACGAAGGTAAGTTTGTTTTAAATATTGATTTTATAATGGCTTTAAAACCCGACGGCCTTTGCGTATATGAAACAACTAAACAAGACAGCATATAATTTCAGTGTATCTTTAATATTGATTCCCTTTTTTATTATATTGAATTTTTTAAATAAAAAATAAAGCAAAGTTATTTGCAAGCGAGAATTTGAAATCATTTTATTGCAAACTCAAAGTTTATCGATAAAGCCATTTAATAGTTAAAGGCAGTTTAGTTTTATAAAGAACACTTTAAAACGTTTTGTGAATTGTTTGTGGTTGAATTTTACCTTAAATTGAAGCTTGTATTACGTATAATTACATACCTAACATATATATGTTGGGAAATTGATAATTTTGTAATTAAAAGTGATATTTTTAGGCGATTTTCATTTGTAAGAATATTCTTAAAAAATTATCGTGTTACCATGACAACTACTTTAGATACTTCATGTTCGGAAAATACAACGGTTTTGTCAGCAAGGCGAGGGTTTCTGCATGCATGTATTTTCTAGTAAGTATATAATATTTTCTTCAATAGGCAATTCCCATTATAGCTAAGCATCATGGGAAATGTGGTAGGCTTCACTTGCACGCGAAATGGCCGCCGCGAAGCGAGCATTTTGCATGCGAGAGATATTGCTTTATTAAAGTACATTTTTTCCAGAGTATTATAGTTTAAATAGAAGTAATGTGTTTGTATTACATTGAAGTGTATTGTGGACGAAGTATATCGAAATCGAAGCGAAAACGGACGAAATAATTGGTGTTGAACAGGCGAGGAGCGAAGAATGGCCTCGCAAATACGAACCGAGAGGAAGGTTCAAGTCTACATTCTAAGGTGAGTACGCTTGGTAGACATCGGACTCCTCGATACAAATACGTGTGACTTGTTGCTTGATTTATATCTCGATTTTCTCAACGATCCAGCGTTATCTCGCGATTTTTTCGCTTCTTGAAACTCTCAAATTCGGCCCATGATGTCTTTCGTTCGTTCGATAAGCATGGCCTCTAAAAGCAGTCTTTTAAAAAAGCCTTGAAAATGTTTTGGCGCGAAAGAAAACCAACCTAAACCGGGTTTTTTCCGCCCCAGCTCTTTTATCGTTGCCAAAAGCATAAACAGAAATAATTTTACCGCTGTGTCTGTCGTTTATAATAATTTCTGCTTCCTTTGTTGTGGTCGGTTCATTTCCTATCAAAATAAACAAGTAGGTTCTAGCTAGTTAATTTTAAATATATTAAATTTACCTCTTTTAACTTTGTTAAAACTGTTTAAAATTTGCATAGTTTTGTGCTTAGTTAAATACAAATTTAAAGGTATTTAAAGGCATTCTAGTTTAATTTTTTTCATATAAAGCTGCAGGCAGTTTAGTGGACAAGAATATAAATATATTAATATTTTAAAATAAGGAGTAGGTTTTAAGGCTGGTCCTAAAAATTAAATTTCTACATAATTTTAAAATTGTTAGGATAGGTTTAAGTTAAATTAAATAAGTTTATACTGTGGATAATGAACTAGGAACTTCAATAGAGGCAGATACAAATTTGGCAGCAGACCTAGAAACTACATATTCTAGGAAAAAGCAAAATGGTGGCACTGGTGGAACAACTTGTTGTATTCCTAAATGTGATAGCAATACTAAAAAAAATCCTGAGCTATCATTATATCAAATTCCAACTGATATGAAGCTGAGAAATATGTGGTTACACTTGATTGGCCGAGCAAGCTTTAAACCTAACAAGTGCCACCGAGTTTGTTCAAAACATTTTGTGGGTGGCAAGAAGACTTGTCTTCACAATGTTCCAACAGTTGTGCAAAAAGTTTTGCTGCCTACACCAACAAAGCCCAGAAGAGACCCAAATGAGAATAGATGCATAATAAATGAACATGCAGAACAGCTAACATCTTCAAGAAATAAAATTTCAAAACTTGAACATGTAGTTGAGACTCTTGAACAGAAAAACCAAGAATATGAAGAGGAAATTTCAAAGCTGAAGGAAAAGGTTCAGCAATGTGATTTTTCAATAGATCAATTTAAAAGCAATGATATTTTTAGATAAATAGATAGATAGATAGATAGATAGATTGTTTGTTTAATAAGATTAACACATAGCAGCCAAGAGGCTGAATTGCGTGCTAAATTTTACAAGAGAAATGATTAAATTAGTTATTCTATATTTACAGAAGATTAAAATTACATTACAATTTATAATTCTATATTACAGAAGTTTAAAGTTACATTACAAATTAGCTATGAAACTAGTAAATTTCTAAAAAAATGTTAGCCAGTCTAAAACTGAATATCAGAATCGATTGTCAGTTAATATTATTGATATGCCTTGCAGATGAAGGGAAAAAACTGTTTCTAAATCTGTTCGTTTTGGTCTGAGGAACAACAAAAGACCTTGAGTGTCTAAGGTCGTAATTTGGAAAGTATCTAGATGGTACATGATTATGCATATTAGCTACTGGTGTTGTGGTGATTTCATTAAACAGTTTCTCGCATGCATCCACACGCCTGTCACTTAATGGTTTGATGCCCGATTTTTGCCGTGACTTTGAGTTCTACACCGGCTTTTCCAATTATGGTACATTTAAAGCTTTCTATAACTATCTGTGTCCAGCATGTGAAAGGTTACAGTATAATGTATCATCAAACCGCTCAAATCAAACTGCAAAACGTGAAAAGTGTGGGCCAAAGAGGAGGCTATCACCAGAGGACGAGCTGTTCTTACAAGACTCAGGTTGGGGTTATTGGAAAGAGATTTAGCAAATAGATTTAACTTGTCTAAATCCCAAGTATCTAGAATTTGGATAACATGGCTTGATTTTTTATACACATAAGTAAGATCCATTCCCATTTGGTCTTCACAAAATTATATTAGAGAAACCATGCCTTCCAGCTTCAAGGAGAGTTATCCCAATACTAGGATGATTGTTGATTGCAAGTATTTATAGAAATGCTCTCACAACCAAGAAGTCAAAGTGCAACCTTCTCAACGTATAAAAACCATAACACTGGTAAAGGTTTGATTGGCATATCTCCCCTAGGGGTGCACCGGAACCAATTTTTTAAGATCCGGCTGGAACCGGATCTGGCCGGAAAATAGCCTTATCTCCTTTCTTCACATTTGGCTTGACCACAAATTGCCTTGGATAACCGGCCTTGAAAAGTCTGTATCCACTTTTTTATGTTTAAATGCTTCAGCATGCAGGCTTGTTGTCAGGTGTTTTTTTAGCATCCAGTACCAAATGTTCCTCTAATTTCTGGTATGAAAATTCTGAGATATTCTTTAAACTCTTTGTCCAACCATCCCCTAATGCTGCCAAATTTGTATCTGCCTCTATTGAAGTTCCTGGTTCATTACCCATAATATAAACTTATTTAACTTAAACCTATTCTAACAATTTTAAAATTAACTATGTAGAAATTTAATTTTTAGGACCAGCCTTAAAACCTACTCCTTATTTTAAAATATTAATATATTTATATTCTTGTCCACTAAACTGCCTGCAGCTTTATATGAAAAAAATTAAACTAGAATGCCTTTAAATACCTTTAAATTTGTATTTAACTAAGCACAAAACTATGCAAATTTTAAACAGTTTTAACAAAGTTAAAAGAGGTAAATTTAATATATTTAAAATTAACTAGCTAGAACCTACTTGTTTATTTTGATAGGAAATGAACCGACCACAACAAAGGAAGCAGAAATTATTATAAACGGCAGAAACAGCGGTAAAATTATTTCTTTTTATGCTTTTGGCAACGTAACAGAGCTGGGGCGGAAAAAACCCGGTTTAGGTTGGTTTTCTTTCGCGCCAAAACATTTTCAAGGCTTTTTTAAAAGACTGCTTTTAGAGGCCATGCTTATCGAACGAACGAAAGACATCATGGGCCGAATTTGAGAGTTTCAAGAAGCGAAAAAATCGCGAGATAACGCTGGATCGTTGAGAAAATCGAGATATAAATCAAGCAACAAGTCACACGTATTTGTATCGTGGAGTCCGATGTCTACCAAGCGTACTCACCTTAGAATGTAGACTTGAACCTTCCTCTCGGTTCGTATTTGCGAGGCCATTCTTCGCTCCTCGCCTGTTCAACACCAATTATTTCGTCCGTTTTCGCTTCGATTTCGATATACTTCGTCCACAATACACTTCAATGTAATACAAACACATTACTTCTATTTAAACCATAATACTCTGGAAAAAAAGTACTTTAATAAAGCAATTTCTCTCGCATGTAAAATGCTCGCTTCGCGGCGGCCATTTCGCGTGCAAGTGAAGCCTACCACATTTCCCATGATGCTTAGCTATAATGGGAATTGCCTATTGGCCAAGCTTAAGACTTTCGAGGTCTTCACAAACATCTTGCATGCTTGATTGCTTAGCAACTGAAATGTCCTCGTCCTGCTTACATATCTGCTTGCATAATTCCTTCATAACATCGCCCGCTTTCTTGCCATCAAGATACAACAAGTTTTTATTCTTTTTCCATATTATTACTGAATCATCAA